AATGAATAGATTTTTTTTCTCGTTTGATTGATTTCTGTATTGAGGTGGGATGTAATATGGAGACAGTAGTAAGTGATGAGACATGTGAGTGTGAAAACATATCCGAATCAAATTCAAAGTAAAAGTAAAAGTAAAAGCGAGTAACTAGTGAGCAGTGAGAGATAGTCAAATGAACCCAAGAAATAGTCATGCGAGGGAAGACCTAATAAGCGCAGACGCCAGAACCAATCTTCGACAGGGAGCTCATATCATCCTGCCACATCTCGTCCTGTCACATCGCCCGTCTTACTTTCCACCTCTTCTCGCCTCTTTCACTTCCTTCACCCGTATCCCCTCTTTGACCGGGAAGTATCTAGCTGTGCTGTCGTAATGGCACAAGCTACCACTGGAACGGCGACGATGTAAGATGCCAGGAATACTACGGTGCACCGGTGGACCAGGCAGAGTCCCCGGAACACGCCAAGCTATCTAAGAATCTGCTAGCTGGCATCGACTTTGCGACTGCCAGAGCAAAGACATCATGCACAATAAGCCTCTAGACTTCCATACACCCTCGGCACGTTCGTGAGGGAATGCACGCAATTAGTCCAACCATCATCATCCAAGAGTCTCGTTGCCATGAAAGCTACAAGGTAGTAACAAGGTATGCAGGCTCTGTCACGTCCTCTATCGAAGAGCACGATATCACGCCGCATGAGGAAGTCGCTCACCCACAACAACAGCTACAACAGTGTAGCTGGCTTCCATGTTTCTTGGAAGATGACAAGATTCCCACCTAGTTGCCCCAAGTTGCTTAGATTCATCCTCATCCGATGTATCCTTCTGCTGACTGCTTTTTGAAGTCTTCAAAGTATATATCTCAGTAGACTAATCATCGTCTGCTGCCCTGTAGGCATGTATAAATACCATACTACACACCTCGAGATGAAGCCGATCCATCGAAGACAGGATTCGGCCATACGTCAACAATGGACTCCCCACTCTATTCGACCATGAGCCCATGAGCTCATACCCCACAAGTTATAGGAGAGAATGTGGGTAGATCCCGCCAAAGGCAAATCAAATATGGCCGCAGCTGTGAAACTCAACCGCACCAAGCCCCAGATCCAAATGGAGATCTAGAAATGGAACTCGGATATTCAACATCCCCATTTCACCAGTCCATGTGATTAAAAAGACTGGTGATAATATCACAGCCTTTCAGAATCCACTTACAATACCTTCAATCACATTTTCGGATGATCCCCTGAAATTCCCAAAGAGATGACCAGGCCCTATGGTATATGGGTAAGTCTTTATCGAATATAAGCCAAGCTAAGTTCAAAAAGCTATTTGTATACTAATTATGACTTCTGTTTCTAGGCTGTGTGCACCAGGAGAGAAGACCATACATATCCTTTTCGAAACTCAATCGTTTATAGATTGAGTACCGATGGTGAGGAGTCTCGTTTCCTCCGAATCAACCAAAAGAGAGAGGTATGATGACAAATTCTGAATTTTGATAAAGAACTAATCAACTCATTGGTTCCAAGTGGGCGAAGACTGGCATGGTGAAGACGCCTGATGAGAGCTACACTAGACCGATGTCCGGCTTGACAAACAGCACCTCATCAATATCGCAACTTCGATATGGGCTACACAAGAGCCATAACTTTCATGAGAGAACGGAAAGAGAGTAGAAGGAAACACTCACCAATCCAACTCCAGCTGGTTTAATGATGAATAGCCACAGTGGTCTGGAGTCTCTGCCATTGAGATCGATTTACTTCGAGTACGCTTTTGGGAAATCCTGGCGTTCGTTGGGGATGACACCACGGAACAACCTGGTGCTGATTTCAAAAAGCCTCAGAAACTGATGATATAACCAGAAAGAGTAATTCACATGTGAACCTTGCGAACTGGGCAAATCGAAGAAGCAAATCTCGAGAACTCCACAGAAACGACGCAGCCAACCAGGAGTCAAATTCCATGTGAATACCCAGGAGAAATCTCCGATCCTCCTCCTTATCAAGACGCAACGCCTCGTTCGAGCCCGGTTTACCACCGTGCTATGTATGAGTTTCCAACACGAATGTGACCGCTCTCAGCTGAACACCACGACCGGTAGATAGGCTACGGTAGTCCCAATGAGATCATCATTTTTCATTCCCCTTAGCTTTCCTCCCTTAGAATGAATGGGCTATGCTATATCGCATGTATGCTGAACAAGAGGCCATGGCCGTTTGGGAACGTTTTGACAAGTGCGCAAGCGCGTTGATTATAACAAAAAGGTGCTCTACGTGGCGATGATCGCTAAGAGAGGGTGGTCGCTAAGCGATGATACCACCCAGTAGGAGGATAGCTATGAGGAGAGCAAGAGCTCCGGTGATGTCCTAAACAAGACCTCAACGGGGAGCAAGAAGATCACCTTGCTGGTAACATTATCACGATGGTTCTAGTCATAACAATAATAAAATCTACGAAGATACATACTCGTTCTATAGATTTAGGCTACATACAGCAAAGTAATAAATAATAAGGGCTAAGATGGTGTGGTTCGTACAGAGCATTGCATAATATTCATATATAAAAGGGGAAGTATAAGGGCATAGTACTAGACTAGAATAGTAGGTATGAGTAGAATGACTAGAGTTGACACGCTGCAGCACAGCCATGTTCTAGGCAAGGACTGTTATTGTGGCTGTGTATGACTATGACTGACATGGAGAATAAAGTACCAAGAACAATATGAGATCAAATGAAGTCGCATGAATGTAGTCGAATGAATCATTGTCAATATGAGACAGAATGAGTCAGTAGAAATTAGGTACTAGTACATACTTTACCATACTACACACAATAATAAAATAAGTACCGGTACATTACATCAACCCACCAACCTCGCCTCTGCGGCTCCGGCGGGGCAAACTCAGACGACGTTCTGATTGGCCCGAGCTTTTGGTCTTTTTTCAGTTGGATCGCACGTCTCTGCCAATTTATTTATCTCTCGGCTTCATTCTGCAAATCCTAGATTCTTTGATTTCCTAATTCCGAACGGTTTCTGTTTCTGTTGCTGCATCTGTTAGCTCGCTTTTCGCTACCCCGCTCCACACCGCACACTTTTTCCCACCCTGTCACTTGCAACATCTTCTGATACTCTAACCATTATGGCTGTTCGCGCGCAATTCGAGAACTCGAACGAGTAAGATACTTCAAGTCAAGAAAGTTTGGGACTCTTGGGGACTCGGGCTAACGGTTTCCATTTAGGGTCGGCGTTTTCTCTTGCCTGACAAATGCCTACGCTATCGTTGCGGTTGGTGCTTCTGAGAACTTCTACAGGTGTGTTTGAATATTCAGACATTCAGAAGGGTGTGGGATCAAGACTTGGGACTGGCATTGGTAGGAATGGTGGATGCGAAGGCATACCGTCACCAATATCGTGCCATTCCAAATCTCAATCTCTAACCTCTACCCCAATACACCGATGAACAACCCCAACTAACATGCAAATCCAGTGTCTTCGAATCCGAACTCCAAGATGTCATCCCCATCTGCCACGCAACCATCGCCGGGACCCGCATTGTCGGTCGTCTGATCGTTGGGTGAGTGGGACATACAGCCAGTTCAAAACGAACTGCCTTTTCTGCCTTTTCTGCCAGGAAGGGAAAACATCTGTCAAGAAAACGAATGCTAATATCTCGCCCCCAGTAACCGCAAAGGTCTCCTTGTCCCCACAACCACTACAGATCAAGAATTGCAACACCTGCGCAACACGCTTCCGGCCGAAGTCAAAATCCAACGCATAGAAGAGCGCCTCTCCGCGCTCGGCAATGTTATCTGCTGTAACGATCACGTTGCAATCGTGCACCCCGATCTGGAGCGTGAAACCGAGGAGATGTGAGTAACAATCCAGCGTTTACAGCGCCACGAAAACCTCTCATCATTCCATTCCATCCCAAACTTTCTTCCTCGCTTTTTTTTCTTCCAAAACTGACATATCGTTCTTCCCCCAGCATCGCCGATGTCCTCGGCGTAGAAGTCTTCCGCCAAACAGTTGCCGACAACGTCCTCACAGGCTCGTACATGGCCCTCTCAAACCAAGGTGGAATTGTTCACCCCAAGACCTCAATCCGCGACCAGGACGAGCTCTCCTCTCTCCTGCAAGTTCCCCTCGTTGCAGGCAGTGTGAACCGCGGATCTCCCGTCGTCGGCGCCGGCATGGTCGTCAACGACTGGCTCGCCATCACCGGACTGGACACCACAGCCACTGAGCTGAGCGTTGTCGAGTCTGTGTTCCGACTTGGCGAGATGGCACCCGGTGGTGCCGGCGGGGCTGGTGTTAATAAGGATAGTATTGTGGAGAGTTTCTACTAGATTTGTTGATCTTTTAGATTGCACTTTTCTAGTGAGCTTTTTTACGGTACATGGTCCTGTTCTTATTTTCACGCTGGAATGATTTTTTGATTTGAAAGTACTGGTATTCAACTTTTTTTTTGGCCTGTTCGGCTCTGTGTTCTCTGCTCTGTTCGGTCTGATGGGTCTTTCTTTGGGAGTCTGTAATGCCTATGCTTGCATATACTCGAATGAATTATGCATGATGGATGGAATGTGTAGCATCAAAGATTTTTTAAAAAAAATAAATCGAGATATAGATGTTGACACTTGAGAATATCGATCGAGATGGTCTTAGTCCTTCTTATATATATAGCTTTAGATATTCGTCTGTATTTTAAGATCTCTTAAAAAGCACGAAGCTTACAGCTCAACACAGGCTGAATTGATGCAAACTATGATAGTGGCACTTGGGCTCGGGGGTATTGTCGACAGCATAGAAAGCAATAGAAAAGCAAAAAAAAAAAGATAAAAATGGCACAAAAAGAACAAGTTAGAAGCAAAAGTAATGCAGGCAGTTGAGATATCAGTTTCAATCCCTCCATTCTTCTTCCGACTGTCTCGCTTTTTTACTCGCTTTTGGGTATTGATGCACAAGGACAAAATAAGACAAGAGCCGCTGGAGTTGCCTACACCTGTCCCTCGATACTGAGCTGAGGTTGCTCCATTTGTGGTTCATTCTCCGCTTCTATCTCCATGTTGACATCGACTGCAGTGCTGGAGCCGTCTTTCGGAGGTGAAGGGTCATCTCCAGTGTTTCCCATGCTGGTGTCACCGTCGGCATCATCTTCAGGAAGATCTGCTGGAGGAGGCGGGGGAGGAGGGGGTGGGGGTGTAGATTTCTGTCGTTTGGAGGGAGAGGCGGCTCCATCTTCAGCACCGTCAACGTTCAGGTTTCCGTTTCGCTTGCGTTTGAGAGACGCGGCGTCGTCGTCTTCCAGGGGAGAACTAGCAGGTGCACCTGCGACGGCTTCGTCGTCGCCTGTGCTGTGAACCTCGTTTCCGGGGTTCGGGGTGGCGTCCTGCGACTTCTCACTCTCGAGCTTCTCGCGATCCACATATTTGGCTGCAGCCTTGCGGAAGAAGGTCTTGCAGTAATTTTTCACGGTTTGCTGGTGCTTCGTGGAGATCTTCGCGGTGGGATCCTTGACGCGATTATTCTTGTAATCACTTTCAACAAGTTTCTTCGCAGTCTATTAATGAGGAATGTCAGAACAATTACATCTCATCAGAAAGAGAATCGAAAGTGAGCGTCTGTGATCTTACCTCCTTGGCAAATCGTTTCAAATGATGGTCAGGGATCTTGTGTTTGTACTGATCCACCACGGGCTTGATATGCGGGAAAAGCTGGGGTGTGTTAGTCCAGTCGTATCCAATTTGCTGCGTGAATACTCACAGTGTTCTCGTAAATTCTCTTCTGCTTTTCCAATGGAAGTTTCCTCCACTTTTCTCCATCTTTATGTCTTCTCTCTGGTTGATCGGCAGAAGCTTGAGGAGTCACGGGTGTATCAGTTCGGTGCTCAGAGGGTGTGTCCTCCTGGGTGTTCATAATCCCGTCAATGATACTCTGCAATGCCAAATTCTGTTGATTTTTGGCAGGCTGACCCGGCGCAGGAGTAGCGGGAGTAGCAGGCAAAGTTGGCCGTTCCCAGGTTGTTTTGCCTGATGCAGAATAGTAGTAAACGCGACCCTCCGCCTCTGCAGTGTACCATCCCTCAGGCAGTGGCCGAGGACCACGACGGTTGGGTTGTCTGGGCCGCTGAGGACCTCGGTCTCTTCGCTGCTGCGCTGGTCCACGAGGAGGATCGTAAGCAGGAGATGGAGAGCGAGTAAGAGATCGCTGGCGCTGCTCTTGTCCAGTTTCGCGGCGCTCGAACTGGTTTATTGCCTGCTTCGCATCCTTGCCACGTTTCATGCGCGGGATTCGGTAGGCGACTTCCAGACCCGCCCAGCTCTCGAGAAGGGCGACTGCTTTCTTCGCGACGCGCTCATCGTCACAGGTCGTCAACGGCCGAATGTTCGTCTCAATCTTGGAGTCCTGTATCTTATTTCGAGTGAGTCGCGGGAACCCGTCCAGGATGTTCAGGATCTGCAGAACCACGTTCTGGTCTTCCTTCCATTGAGCGAGCTGGGAGTTCAGAATCTGGTATCCGTGCATTCTGACCACGCGATTGCGAACGCGTTCATCATCACAGCGCTGGATACGGCCTAGCAGTTTGACCGCGATCCACTTCTCCTGGCACTGCACAAGAGCCGCCATGACCTTGGTAACACCATCCTCATCCAGCGACTTGGGCTGCACGCTGTCCACATACTCCTCGTCGTCCTCTTCCATCTTCTTCTTCTTTGGGCGTTTCGCCACCACAGTATCCCAGCCATCGGCCTCGTCAATACCAAGAGCCTCGATAGTTGCATTCGACAGCTTGGTCGCGCGCTCAGTTTGAGTGCGTCCGCCGATGAATCCCGTGCACATCGGCTCCCCACAATAGCAGGGCTGGGGGTCGGCACCATATCGATCAACATTGTAGTTGAAAACCAGCTCCTCGCCGGCCTGAACAGCGCGTTCAGCGAATATTCCCATACGTAACTTTTCGCCCACGACCCATTTGTCCACATAGCAGTTGGGGTTGCACGAGTGATTGCAGAATCGTCCCAGGTTGCCTCGCTTGGTCGCATCGACAAACTCGCCCTTGTTCAAGGACATAAAGTAGAAGTGCTTGATGCCCTCCTCATCATACTGTCTCATGCGCTTTCGAAATTGCTGTTCTCCCACGACCTCACCAACATATTCGTAAATCAATTCGCCCGGGTCGAGGTTCTTTTCCGCGCGTAAGCCGAATCCCTTTTTTTCTGTTTTGATAACGGAAACCGGAGCAAACTGTCCTTTTTGAAACCGTTGGTTTTGACAGTCGGAGCCACAACCGCAGTCGCCTGCACATTCGATCTTGGTCGCGCGGTTGATGCAGTCCGAATCCTCGCCACATGCGATATTCTGACCAATCTTCGGGTCTACAGAGTGGATCAGTGATATGCTCGCGGAGGTTCAACCATTGCCAAAGTGAGAGAATATCCCCTTAGAAATCGGAAAAGACGACACTGAGGCTACTCGAAAACCAAACTTACCCCACTCTTCAGCGCAATCACATTCCATGGCATGTTCAGTGTATCCCATGTATTTGTTGGCGTAGATACAGCCGGGGATCTGTTCGAAGGTGGCGAGCGCATCCTGGGTGCTATCGGGCAGGTGCGTGTACAGCGGCGGAGGTCGCGACGCGACTTTCTGCGACGAGCTTCGAGATAGCTTGAGCGGTTGGCCCGGTTCCTGTTTAACGACGATCTCGCCGATGTTTTCCTTCATTGTATCGGATGGGTCGGAGTTGGGGGAGGACTCCTTTTTCGGGGGGAGAGGCGATCGAGAGGAGGTACGCGAGTCGCCGTTTTTCAAATGATTGCCGTTTACCGGGGAGTGCCGCTCCATTTTGGCAGGCTCTTCAGAGTCCGCGTGGTCATGAGCAGACATGACAACACGGACTACGATTGGGAGATATGTGTTGGAAGAGAGAGAGAGGAAAGAAAATAAAGCAGAATACGAAGTTCGGGGATGATTCTGCCAGGATATGCCCTCGGGAATCAAGGGGGTTGCCAGAGCGGTAAAGGTAACAATCTCATTGATAAAAATCTCCTAATTTGACTCAATTCGAAGCTATTGTCATTTGGCGGTCTCACCGCCTTGAGAGCCTAGTTTGTTTTGTTTTGTCTTTTTGTATAGATCTGGTTGACCTTGGGATATCACCTCTGGGGTTGTAACATGGGAGGTTGAGCTCAGTTCCACCTCAAGAGGTTCATAGGAACATATCTTGAATAGGTATGGGATAAGGCATGGGAGCACTCTGGTAGAGTAATGGGAGAGTGACAATAGTCTTTCCTCGATCCCAATTTTGTAGTTTTAACATTTATGTCCTTGGATGTTCATGGTCGATCACTTAGACTGGGAACCGTGACAGGGTTATCAGTCCTGCCTTCCAATGCTGTCAGCATAAGCCTAGAAGTGATATAGTTGAAAATGGTGACCGAAAGACCTGAAAAGGGGAAAGGTCAGAATTGCATGTGTACTCCGTACATTGTGAAAGCTCAGGAGAGACAGAAAATCGATTGGAGGAGAAAGCAGGAAAAAGCGCGTCTGCATGTGTTGTTCGTCAACGTGGAAGAGTCTGTGCGTTTGAAACTTGTATACTCTGAGATTAGTTATTTATTTACATTATTTACATTATTTACATTATTTATGTTTTATTTATGTTATTTAATACACTGATTTTAGAATAAACAAATAATACAATACTACGGAGTACAATAATACAATATGATAGATATATGATCTATGTGGTTAGTTATATATGCCTCAGGCTATAATTCCTATGTCATCCCCCTACTTCAACTTCAACTTCACTTCTTTCTCTTCTTTCTTCTTTCCTCTCATTCATGATCTTCATCATCCCCCCCTCCCCTGATTGAATTACTCGTATTTTACAAACTTGAACCTCATGGCTGCACCTCGGCGGAGTCCCCCTCTCCACTCGGCTCGTCTCTGCCAATCGTCCTGACCCATTTTCATCAGAACCACCCGCTGCATGACAGACGCGCTTTTTTTCTTTCCTGTACGATCGCCCACTCTAACCGCCCCTGAAGCTAGCTTCAAACAAAATCATTTTTCCTTTGGCGTTCCAACGCCCCGGGCCAATGTTTTTACCTATCAAAATCCACTCTCAGCTCCATGATTCCCACTGTTTACCGGAAAAAGACACGACGAAACCAAAATCATGCACTAAAATGCCCCCAAAAAGAAAACAAGAAATAACGCTTCCTCAACTGTCCCTTGGTTCTGGAACTGCCAGGGCCAACCGTTTCCCGAACCAACGATGCAAGTCGGCTGAATCTAAGCCTATTTTATACAACATATATTGCCTAGGCATTACCATCCCCTCCCCCAAATGACCATACCATATGCAAAAGACCTCCCCATCCGTTCGATGCAATGCAGCCCCCACTCAACTCAACCCCTCGATTGTACTTTCGGAGGAATCAGAAATCCAGTCTCCCCGCTTCCCGGTCTTCTTAGTGGTAATTTTGCTCTTTTTCGTTCTTCGACTCTTCTGGAAAACATATGAAACTTTGTTCCGGCTGAAACGCCCATTTCTCTTGATTCACCTGGTATGCTTGGTACTTTACCATATTCCTCTAACCTGTACTGTAATACTCTCCAGAAAGCATCGACCCTGCAGCTTTCCTCCCGAACGCTGGTCTCCTGCGCGATCCCGGCTGCTCAAGTCCGTTTGGCCAGAAAATCCTCCTGCAAAAAATCCCAGAAAAAAAATAATAAGGGATTTTGAATGGAGTTTGGTTTTACTGCACCTTTTTCATTTTCTTTGGCTAGAAAGCCTTCAATTGTCAGATCACTCGTTTTCCTCTGTCATCCCTTTTGTTTCGTCTCCGCGTGGGAGGATATGGGGACATAAGAGACCTCCTCTCGTTCTCTGCTGGCGCGTGCCTTTTGATTGATTTTTTTTTAATCCTTTCTCTCTCACTCTCTTCGCTTTTCCTCTCGGACATAAATAAGAGATCAATTGATCTGAATTGTGTATCACGACCCTGACGACTGCCGTTCGCTGTCCTTTTCCGGGATCTTAATCTGGGAGGCTTTCTTTGTTTTTGGGGTTTTTTGATTACTTTCTTTCTTTCTTTCACTTTATATTTCTTTTCTTTTCGGAGGGAAAGGGAAGTCGGCTATAATCCGCTTCCATGGTCTGGATATGTCAAATCCATCTGATAGGCCATGGACCGAGGAGGACAAGGTATGGGGAGATTCTTTGGCTGGATGTGTATTTGATGCTAACCAACAACCAGTACACTCTGCTCACCGAGATCCTCAAGAAAGCTGAATTTCCTTCCGGCTATCTAGTACGCATGATTAAAGAATATGGGATAACTCCAAGTTGGGAGCATATTCCCCTTCCTCAAGGTATTATCGTCCAATTGCCGGCCAAAGAAAAAGAGAAAAAAGAAAAACGGCTTTGCGGATCAATATCAACATGGCGCTAACACCTGCCCCGGTCAAGGCCGTTCACTCAGCTCGTGCAAAGCGGCCTATCACAATATGGTTCAGCAGTCTACGCACACTTCAACACATCCAGTGGTTCCGTTTCCACCGCGATCCGATATGACCGGCCCGCCAGCCCCAATGGACCCTAGCGCTATGCGCAAACGACCATTATATCCTTCCAACAAGCCAATCCCTCGTGCAATCCAGCCAAGGCCACCAGCGAGTACCGCATCCTACAGCAGCGAAAGCGGAGCATCAGCCCAGCTCTCCCCACGACTAGATATCGGCCCCGGCGAACCACCCCGTAAACGAGGACGCCCAAGCAAAGCAGAGACCGAGCGACGCAAGCTCCTAGCCGAGGCTCGTGGTGAAACTTACCCAGCCCCTCGACGGTCAGGGTCTGGCAGACTCAAAGTCCCAACTTCGCCGACCAGCCCCGCGGCAGGCCCATTGTCTACACCATTCGCGCCGGCGCCTCAACCATTCCACGGACCCAAGCCAGGCCCAAGCGCAATGCTCTACGACACTTCAACCATGCGCTCTGCAGTTCCGCCACCTGGTCCCGGTCCCGCGCTAACGGACGAGCGCCGCGATATGCCAGTCCATGGCATGGGCACCAACATGCGCGAACTTCCCCGACCAACGGAAATGGGCCATCCCCTCCCTTCACCACACGCCTTGCAATTAGGCCCTCCAGACGCGTTCCCTAGACGGAGCAACCCAGCCGAGCGGCCCTACACTTTCGCAGCAGATCGGTACTCCCCGCCAGACGGTAGTCGGGGCGACTCGGTCACTAGTCGACCTGACCAGCCACCAGGACCGTACTCGGAAGGACGAATGAGCACGACACCAGCCGAGAAACCTCCAAGATGACCATTGATATTGATAGTTTCTTTTTTTATATCGTTGTTTTCATTTTCATTTTCATTTCGACCCCAGTCTCGACTATACCTTCGACTTCGATTTCAGCCTTTGTTTTTTGAGGCCCAAGCGCCATGAATGAATGATCAAGCCATTGATGAACAATAGACAGCGTTCTCGTGTTGTGTTTATTGTGCGCGGTTTTTCTCCAAGCTCTTCAAGCGACCCCTTTCAACACCTCCGACTTTCCCTCTTCGACAATTCAACACCCCATGCCGACCTAAACTCTCATTTTATGCCCGTGTATCTGCCTACCTAGGTATTATATCTAAGGTCAGATAGGCCACGGCATGGGAAATTCTTTTACTTTCCTTCTCTCTTTGTGACAGTGACCTTCATACATCCATTGATATGTCTACGAGTTACCCCACGTTCCATGAAGATAACGGCCTTCACATTCTTGATATTCGATTTTTATATGGTTGAATCTTCACACCATTGCGCCCCCAATTCAAGCAAGCGAGTCATTCCACTGCTCTCCTTTTGCTCCTGCTTCCCACTCGTCTCCTAGGCAAACACACAATCTCAATATTGTGAAGCCTACTTCAAGCCCCACGATACAAGACAAGACAAGACAAGACGTTCATGCCAATTGATGCCCTCCATGTCTAGCATCTCTCTTTTTTCTGTCTCGCTGTTATACTTTTTCTTTCTCTCCAGCCCAGCCCAATGTCTAGCGTGCTATGCATTTCATGATGATGATGATGCATTATGTCTATTGCTACATGGCGATGGTGGTTCTTTGAGCCTTTCAATTCCCTTGTTTAAGGCCAGTTTACCTTGTATTTTATCCTACTACACTTTGAGATTTGATGATATTCTGGTTCCCGTTCTGAATTTTGGCTTTTGGCTTCTCTGTTTGTTCTCTTCTACCTCGACTCTCCTTATACGGTGGTGTCCCACATTCTTTGCTCTAGTTAATAATGAATTGAGAGTATCTAATCTCACGCATATCATTTTGGTCCCCGTTCTTCTTTCTTTCTTTACATGCAAGTTGGACATGGCGTTTGCTAATGTACAGCGCATCTCGGAGCTGTATCCCTACATAGTTTAGACTTGCTGTCGAATATCTCAAGGAGAAGGTGGTTGAATCTGTGTTTTCGTATGAGAAATGGGACTGCCCTACATGTATAAATAGATGGACGGGCAATTGGCCTAGCGGTTGTCGTTGGCGACGATTGGCGCACCGCTACCTTGGATCCCGTCCATCTTCAGCTTGAGTGCCGTTTGATCTCAAGTTGCCGGATCGCCTACGGGCGATAACTTTTTTATTTTTTTTATTTTTTGGCTACTTTTCCAGCATTGGGTGATGACCATGCAAGCTCAAACCCATAAATTCCGGGATTTGTTGGGATTCCACAGGTCATATACGTCCATCAAATACGCCACAAGAAGGATTGCAAGCGGCAAGTACTCTCTTCAAAGAAGACTGCCAGTTCATGTATGGGTAAAAATGAAATGCTTGGACAAAGAAACTAGCTCTTCGACGCCTTGAATGAAAT